TATATATATATATAAATATATATATATATATATACACACACACACACACACACACTTTTCATCTGTTTTAATTTCATCTGTTTTATTTCCTGCAATCTGTTAAAACTTCACATTTCATATTTGGCTGAAGGCATACTCATTGCTAGGTACAAAGTGATCCTGTTGATAGCCTTTTCGAAATTTAGAGATAAATAAGCATTTGATAATAAGTGTTGGACCCTGCCAGAAGTTGGACTTTGTATGAATCAGCTTAAGGTCTCTTACCATCAGATGTAGTATCCCAAAAACACGAGCTGGCTGTGTGAAAGCCATAGGCACTCCTTTGAACCACTGCACAGGTCACTGAAAATAAAGTCGCAGCGTGAGAACACTGACAAACAAAGGCAAAGATATCTAAGATATCTAAGTGTTGGAGTTCAGAGCTCTACGAGCTGTAAAAAGAACAGAAAACAAAGCTTTTGGCAAATAGATTAGAAAAAATAAGTCCTCTTGATTATCTACCACCACGATTTTGACCCCACTGGGTCCAGTCTGTTGCCCATTGCCATGACCACTGGTGATTATGCCGCAGAAAAAGCCGGGCCCAATCACGTGCCTCACTCCATGGCAATAATCCAGACATAGAAATGAAGAAAAGATTACACTTTCCAAACAACTACTATGTGGCGCCTCACCGTCCTATGTACGTGTAAGGAGGACGGAGCTCCTGACAGGGAGACAGTAGGGCTGAGTGGTTTTGGTGGAAGGAGGTAGCTGATACAAATGTAAAAGGTGCTGCTACCAAGGGCAGGTAGGTGGCTGGCAGGAGCTCCAACTGCTTCTGAGTAGCAAAAGATCTCCATCTTTTAGGTATTACCAAATACTATCTTTGGATGAATAAGCCAGAAGTCCTTCATATCCTATTAGAATCCAACTTGTCTATCACTCATTTACATTCTCTAAGTTCAGAGAAGACCGTGAGGACAAAGGGGAGGAAACGAGTGAGGAAGGACACTGATACTTACCAATATATTTATAAGCTTTTCCCAACTTAACCAAATGTGTCAAGGACTGTTCCACTATGCTTGCAGTCCACTGGTTGATGTTGTTCTGGTTATAATCTTCACCACCCAAGACCCCATCTATACACTAAAAGGGCAGAGGACAGTTAAAGACATATACAAATCACGGCAAAAATTTATTCAAAACAAAAAAATTAACCCCAAAAAGCATCTTAGAAAATATGCATCTGGTAAATATTTATTATGCCCTGTCTCTAGCTGTTTTAGAATTTTCAGGGCATTCCTGCACGTACTTTCTCACTCTACGAGATACTACGGGCCCTATACAGATAAACAGGACTTGGCCTCTGTTGTAAAGAACTAGAAGAGAAGCTAATAAAAGAAATCTGTAACACCAGAAAGACTAATCAAGGATGATAAGCTCTGTCATAAAAGGATTATGGAGGGGAGTGAAGATTAAGAAAGGGTGATATTAATTGGTTAAAGGTTGGCTTTGAAACAGCTGGGATTTGAACCTTAGGTTTCAGATGCTCGAAATAAAGCAGGAGTCCAATTTAAAAATAGAATTCTCATGTGTAATAATTACATTTTTGTTTATATTATGTAATTACTTAGCTATAAAGCTACCACCTCCTGCCACTAAAAGTAAATCAACAAACACCACTTTTCAGGGGCTCTAGCACAGGACAGTTGAATAATTTTCTAGTGCTCACTCATGTCCACTTCTGATGCCTGATTAAGAGCACCAGTTTAGTATCACAAGCTTAGATGTAAGGTCACTTCTGCCACCTACTCACTGTGACCTTTTGCAAGTGACTTAACCTCTCGGAGCCCCAATTTTCCTAATCCTTAGAGATCAGAGCTTCATCTTATCAGGTTGATGTGAGGATGGGGTGAGATCCTGAATGTCAAGCGCTCAAGTACAGTGACTGAGACAGAGTAAGCAGTTATGCAACCTTACAGATCATCATCATCCTTACCGCTGCTGTTATTTTATTTTTTCCGGCTTTACTGAGATATAACTGACACATAACAGTGTGTAAGTTCAAGGTGTACAATGTGATGATTTGATACACAGATATATTGTGAAATGATCACAATAAGGTTAGTTAACATTATCCATCCCTCCATGCAGTTACCACTTTTTGCCTTTGTGGTGGAAACATTTAAGATCTACTCTGAGCAGGTTTCGAGCATACGGTACAGTATTGTTAACTGGAGTCATCATGCTGTACTACATAGTTCTAATACATGAGTCTGAACTATCAAAATACGGCAGGATTTTCCGGTGCTTGTCTGGCTTTCTCAGACCTCGGGTTGATCCTGGCTGTACAAGGCCAGCCCTGGATGAGTTCTGGGTGAGCTTGTGCCCTAGAACATTCAGACAGGTGAGGCCCCATCTCAGGATGGACTGAGGAGGTGCTTAATGACCAGAGGGCGAGCCAATCCAGCCCAGACTAAAGGCAGGTAGAGCCTGCTAGGACACAGACCCAGCCACCATACCCACAATACAAGGTTGCCTTCTGGGCCAGCTCATTTTTTCCCTAGGATTTGGCACAGTGAAAAATGACTCAGGACTATTAAAAGTGTTTATAAATACCTTACCCACCGTGTAGTCTGTATGTGATACAACTAGAATAATTCAAGTTCCTCTGCCAGAATTGATTCCCAAATAGAACTTCTTGTCTACTTGCCTACTAGGAGGACCAGATTTCATGTTTCAAATACTTAAGGTTTTGATTTAGCATCATATCAGTGTCTATAAGATGCGAAGTGATTATTTTTCCAATTAGTTGGGTTAAAAAAGCATATTTCTAGGGTCTTTTGACATATTTTACATATAATTTACCTATATAAAAGTGTGTGTGTGCGAGAGATATACACACACACATACATACTTCTATAGCATTAACATTTAAAATAATATTTGGCCTACCGGAATAAAACTTCTTTTATTCAAAAGACAGAACATCAATTTTACAAAACAGCAAACCAGTTTTCTAGACTAATACTCCAATATCACTTTCAGAGTAAGCTCCAGGATGCCTGATAGCATACAACAAAACACCTTTTTAAGGCCCGTCTCTATGAAGCACCCCTATAAAAAGTGAGTAAATATTAAAAATCTTGTTTTAATAGTAAGGTTTCTAACTTTGTACTGGAAGTCAAAACAGAGCTTTTTAAAGTTTCAATCAATGCAGCAAGCTTCAAGATGAACGAAATGTGTAACTCACCTCTTTAACAATATTGTGTGCTTCATCAGCACTGAAACCAACCTAAAGGGGGGAAACAAAAGATACAGCTGCTTTCCACACAGACTTCCTTTTATTTATAGCTGTGACGACACACAGAATACCCGAGGCTGGCCTGAGCAGGTATTAGTGACAGCAGACCATAGTGATAAGGGGAGTCAGTTCTACCGAGGCTGCTAATCCCACGGAGAACACTTCTAAAGTTGCAGAATGCTTTCCCTACCTACCTCCCTCGAGATTTTGATTCATCAGGTCTGGGGCACAGCCTGGGCAACCACATTTTTTTAACAGTGCTTTACTGGTGATTTTGATAAATGTCCTAGATTAAGAATCTTTGTATTGTAAAGCTCAGAAACCAGCAGGAGGAGGGTATAAAGATGTATACACATACATCAGTATATAGGAAAAGGCCGCAGCAAATTAAGAATGAGGTGGTCCATGAGAAGACACTGATTAGTATACTGTTTTCAATTTTGTTTTTTAACTTAGGCGGGGCAAAAATGTGGCTTTCCTGAGTTAGAGATTATGAAAATGCTTGATCTAAGTTAATACTATAGTAGGCCTGGCAACTTAATCTTTGCTGTGGAGTGGCTTGACAGAATTCTGAGTTAAAAGCAACTATTAACAACATCCAAGTGTCCTAGAGTAGAGAACTAGGCTATGTGATAAGATTACAATCTAAACCCAAACTCTTCAAGTAATACATGATTTGTTTCCATGGAGACGTTTTAGGTGCTCTACGACATCACCATTTTTGAAAATCCCACTGTGCAACTTAAAATTAGTTCAAAAAACAATCCTGGAACTAAGTATCATCTTGAGTATAGATTTAAAATATTTTCAACTCATTTAATTACACCAGAGAATTCCCCAACAATAAAGGAATAAAATCCTAAATAATGAGGATTGCGAAAACAGCTCTCACATTTTGACCCTCTCAAAATTATCATTTTGCCTTAAAATAAGGCCATTATCGATTTTCAAAAGTGGCCTACAGATTAAGTGATGTCCATTTCACTTCGATTTGGAAGGTCACCAAAATAATCAGGTAGTACTGGGTGGCCATGGTAACACATGTGATTTTATTTCTTTTTAAATATATTTAGAAAGTACTGCAGTACAGAACTCTCTTAGGAGTCAGGAGACGAGCACTTGTTGGGGGATCTGTCTGTCTGAGAGTGAAACTGCTTGTGCCTCAATTTCTAAAATAAGAATACTTTACCACTAACCTACAAATGTGTGTGCTACCTGTATCACAGAACTAATGAATTTAAGTGTGGTTGTAGCTTCAGCAGAATCCCACCTACAGATGGATGGACCGGAAGCCCTCTCCAGGGGTCTAATAACACACCATTTTCTGTGGCACCTCCTCCAGGTGCCTACTTCCATTTCACTACATCATTCACCTGTGGCTACCACGGGACAGAAAATGTCTTTGTCTCTTCTGCCCTTCGGGCCTGTCACAGGTTATTACCTTCCTAAAGGTTAAATGGAGCCAGGGTTGTAGGGTTCAAATGGAGCATCTGTCATTCCTGGCAGTTTTAACTTTGGGCAAATCACTTAGTCGCTATGAAAGTCAGGGTCCCCATCAGTAACAGGAAGATAACAACTGACATCATGGGGTTCTGGTGAGGTGCCGGGAAGCCTGAGTCAGTAAGCAAGGGCTCGTAATCCATGAAGCACCTCCTTCCAGCCCACCCAGGCGAGAGTGCCGCGGAGCGGCTCTGCCATCAGGGCCTCGCTCGCCAGGCTGCGGCACCTGCTTCGGGGACGCCAAGGGGCGGAGGAAGTCGCCGGGCAGACAGGTTTCTAAGGCCCGTCTCTGAGACGGGCGGCGCCCGACACCCCATCTCCACCCCACGCACCCCGAGTCCGGCCTTCCACCCCTCGGCCCCGATTCCCCGCCCGCCCCGCGTGCTCCCAGACGCCCCTGCCACCCCGACTCTCAGCCCACCCTCAGGGCCTCGGGGTCAGGAGGCCGGGGCGGGTCCCGGCCCGGAGGGGCGGGGAGGATCCGGGCTCGGAGGGCGCCGCACCCCGACTCTCGGGGCCGCCCGGCGCCGAGAGACCACCCGACCGAGACGCCTCGGCGAGGCGGGCGGGGGCGGGGGTCTTTCGCGGGCGGCCGAGGGGCGGTACCTCTTCGCAGTGGCGGTGATACTCCTCCATGGTGGCACCGACACTCTCGGGGGGCGGAGCAGCGGGCGGGTCGAACTCCGCGGCCGCGCAATGGCCTCTTGGGAGGCCCCGCCTCCATTTATACACCGGGGCGGTCCCCACGAAGGCTCCGCCTTTGTGTCGTAACTGCGCCACCTTGTCGGTAATGCGGGCAGGGTTCTGCGCGATGGGTGGCGTCCGACCTCTGCCTCCGACCTTTCTGGAAACAGGGGTTGCGTGGTGAAGCGCCGGGGATTGTGACGGCGTGGGTCGGATGCGGTAACCTAGTGTTAATCTAGACTGCACAGTACTGGTTGAGTGCCCACTGCTGTGTTTATGTGCACATATTCTTTCATCATCATCTAGCCAATAAGTGCAGTTAATGTAATAATGAACAAGCCGCTTTGATTTCTTCACTTACTAGCTACATCACTTGGGTGAATTGACCTCCCAAAGCCTCGTGTGAAAACTTGAAGTTATACCTATTTCACAGTTTATTGTAAGAATCAAATGAAATGTTATATACATAACTCTCAAAAGTGAATGCTCCCCAGCATCCTGCTTTGTTTTACTTTCCAACAAGATCTGTTGAGATTCCCACTTGCATTCTAAAGAGCTCACCCTTATTTGCCTCTCTTCTGATGTATTTTGTGTATTAGATTGTGTGGGAGGTATTCTAGAAGGCATTAATGGTTTGCATTCAAAATGACGTGGTTTGTCCAAATTATTTTCTGTCTTTATTATTGAGATGGATTTATCTCATTTTTTTCTTGATGATTTGAAGTTGTAAAAGTTGTCCAGCTATTGCTTAATAAAATTTTGCAGATCAAAAAAAAAAAAAAATTGTGTGCAGAATTGAGGTGTGGGTCTTGAGTCCTCTGAGAAAGCATCACCACTCTCCATTGGCATGACCCAGCATCCTCCCAGTTGTCCCTTCGAGCCCTGGGTTACTGCCAGTGCCGCCTGGACACCCTGGGATTCTTACCCTCATCACTGTTTTTGAGAGGTCAGGGTTGTGCTGTCTTCTTGATGAGTTTGTTTTGTTTTTCTTGTTTTCTAAAGAGGACAGTTCAGGATGCATCTGGCCTAGCACCTACGAGATCAGAGATGTTAGATACACTGACACCTTCTTTGTTACTTCGTAGGAAACAATAAAACCAGGTTTTGAGCAACTCTGCTCTCAGTGCTAATATAACTGTTAATTGTTGTTTTTCCTGCTGAGTCTTCGTGCACTTCCTTGCTCTGATCTAGAGTTCCTTCTGACCTCTGAGGGAGGCAGGGACTCGGAGGCCATAGGATGCTCATCTGTAAACACTTTAGTTCACGTGCACATTTACACAGCTACCCTTTTGGTTTTCTCAGAGATAAAAGCAGATGTGATCGCTCAGACTTTAGAAGACAACCAAAACCACTGTCACCTCTCATGCATTAAGTTTTAAAACAATCACAGGACTACAGACTTGGCGATTTAAATAGTAGTAGTCCTACAACACTAAATGACCTGAACTATGTCTAAGAATCAAAATATATTTCGTTGTATTATGAAAGGTTGTGAACTTCAAGTTAATGTTCATTCTGTCTTCATTACTTAAACCAGGTAGCAAGGAGCCCTGGCCAAAAACAATCTCCCTCTTTCCCTCCCCTCACAAAAACAAGGGACCCAGACCCTGACATCCATGCTGTACCTGGGTCTGTGCTAAGGACCCATGTGTAGGATTGCCTTCTCCAGCAGCCCCTTGTCAGCTTTGGGGCCATTTGGTGTAAGTCAGTGTCTCCAGAGTGACTTACTTCTAAAACTCTGGTAAGAAAATGTTGTAAAGCCCTTCAACTTATTTTGAAAAGCAGGCATTCTATGTTTACCCTTGCACTCAGTGCTCTTTCCTGGCATCATTAAAAGAATAGGGGATTGGCTCAGTTGTCCTCCCCTAGCCCCAAAACCTCGTTGCGGAGAAATGACTGCTTCGTGGAGATTGCATCCCACTGCTCCAAGAACGCACAGCTAAATCTCTAAATTCCACTATAAAGTAGATGTCTTTTGCCTTCCTTTCAGAAGAAAACGGAAGCGTTAAAAGGCTGAAATAACTTCTGGATTCCATAGACAAAAACCAATTATGAAATAGAATCCACGATTTCTGGGTCACATTAATGAACAGACCTAGTTTATGCCCAGCTTCTACTCTGGTGTTTTGTGATAATTTGCCTGTAATGAGCTATGAGCTACCGACGGTTTTCTGCAAAAACAGGCTGCATAGGTGGGCAGCCCTCACCCATCAGGCGGTGAGCTCATCCTCCCACCAGCTGAGAGTCTTCGAGCACATGCAGCTCTAGGCTCTATCACTTACGGGGGCGGGGGGGGGAGCGTCACAAAGGAGCAGGTCTATGCGGGTTTGTTCCTCTGCCTATCTTAGAAACATTCTGCTCAGTGCACTCTTTCGTATCCGAAACCGCCATCCACGTGAAGGACAGGGTTGTTTCTTAAAGTTCCTGTTAGGCTGACAGCTTTGAATAATAGAGGGTGCCCCAGTGTAGAAGCAGGACTCCAGCAGGAAACTGGATGTCAGGTGTAAAAATATTTTGGCCTCATCCCTTCTGTTTCCTCTTTCTGGATCTCCTGCTTTCAGGTCCCCTTGCTCTACAAGGAGTGGGTTCTCTGTGCTTTAGGGGACGTCCAAGCCACCCCCCTCGACTCATGGGTGCCTTCAGTGCAGCTTCAAGACCTGTTCCTAGTTTAATGAATTTATTAAACCTCAGCCACCTCTCAGGATGCTGTCCAAATACTTTGCAAAGCACTTTTTTAGCATATGAAATACATTTTTTCCCCACAGTGATTGGAATCAGCAATTCAGATACCCCATTTGCCATTTAGTTTCTGCGCTATTCTGGACCCTTTCTCAGCGCAGTGGTTCTGCAGCATTTTCAGTGCATGCATGCCTGCAGCCGCTCACCCCCAGACAAGATGGGGGGAGCTTGGACGATAAAGGCTGGCCCTATAGCAGGACCTCAAACTACTACTGAGGTTGCCTTCTCAGCGTGCCGGCCACTTCAACCGCGAGGATGTGGAGAGAACCCCGCACTTTCTCTTTGCACTTTTCTCCAAAATAGAGGATGGCCAGTGCTGACTCCATTCCCCATCGTGTGCAGGGAACCAAGGGTCACCGTGTCTCCTTTAGGTTTGGCCTCCAATTCATTCAAATGGTCTGTGATTTCTCCTTTCTCACGAATTAACTCAGCGTTTCCTGCCTCCCCAGGTGTCATCTTGAAGGCCTTCTCTGAACCACCTATCAAAATCTAACACTTCACCCAGTAGGGGGTACAGTCCCTGTCATTAAAAGGAGAAATCCTTTCATCTCTGTTCTTTTCATGTCTAGTATCATGGAATCAGGACTCTACCAGTATTACATTTTCTTTCCCCAGCTAAAAGGCGAGCAGCCCAGACATCACGGTACTTGAGTTGCAAACATGTGATGGACTCCTGTAAGAAGGATTGTCTCTGAGAACTCATTTCTTTCTGTGCTTGAGCCCTACGGGGTCCTCCGAGTCCCGCTTCCCTTGAGTACCTGCGTGGACTGCAATAGGCCCTGAAGTCCTAGGAGTGTGGTTTCTTACCAGTATGAGGTTTAACTTCTTTAAACCTTGAGAGAAAACATTCCTCTGACAGGAAGAGACCGTCTCCATTCGTTCCACTGGAATGACCAATGCCAACCAAGTCCTCACGTCCAGCAGCGTGGAAGTCTTCCTAGCACCACTTGGTTCATTTGCTGACCCTGGATCCCAAGCCAGTTGGGAAGGGAATTTACTCTA